TGTTGTATTTCTTTTATAAACAAGTGAATCAACGGTATTTATCGATATTTTGTGAACTTGACTTGAACCTAAGATCCAAGTGTCATGAAAAAGGACACACTGAGTATTAATGCGATGTCTTTTTGCTCCATTTCTTAAGTAAAGGAATACACTCCAGGGTACCGTATTTGTGTGACTTGTGAACCCATAAGCTTAGTTTTTTTCAGAAAGGTAGAACAGACATCACTAACACCGTTAATCAGACATGCCTTTTATGATATTTCTTTTGCAATCAAATTAACGTCAGGGGTACCACGTGTCGTGTGATCTTGAGTTTTGGCATTGAAAGATGGTGTTTTCATGTACGAGAAAAGTAGACATCACGAGTATTAAGATGATACTGGTTTTGTTTTGTTTTCGTCTTAAAGACAGAAACAATAACAAAAAGGGCCTTTTGGTTTCTAAAGTTACGTTTATCTTACTGTGACGGAAGGTGACATAACGAGCATCACTACGATACTCATTTGGTTGCATTGCTTAAACAAGCAAATAAATGCCTCGATACCGACGTTTTATGTGGACTTGACTTTGGCCTTGGGAGCTATTTTTCCAAGCGCGACAATAAAAGACCTTACCAGCAGAAATATCACACGTCATTATTGCATTTCTTTGGTAAACCAATAAATGCAAGGCATCACAATGTTTGTGGAGGTTATCTTTTACCTTGAAAGATAGTTTTTCATATGTGAGAAAAGTCCCCATCACGAGCATCAAGCTGCTACAAACGCTTGTTTTATTTCTTTGGTAAAAGAATCAAAAGTTGGTTTGACACTTTCTGTGTGAATTTGACACTTAAAACCTCATTTTTCTTGTTGTAGCAAAATATGATGTCACGAACATCAGTACGATGCATCTTTTGTAGTACTTATTTGGTTCAGAAAACAATGTCAGGGTGCGCGCTTTTATGACGTTGACCTTTGATTTGAGAGTTCATTTTTGCATGCGTGACTAAGATAAATATGATATGTATCACTTTGTCACCTATTTTGCTGTGCTTATTTAGTACAAAATTAAATGTAAGGATGCCAGGTTAAAGGGAATTTCACACTGTGACCATTGAAAGTTCATTTTTGTAGATGTGAGGGAAAGGATATTATGACCATCATTACGGTCCCACCCTTTTGTTGCAATTTCTTCTCGAGCAAAGAAATGCTGACTCTTATGACCACTCTGTTTTCACACATAACTTGTGTGGCATATTTTTACATTGAAAGCAACTTTCGGTAGGTGTGGAGACCGTGGGCAATCGCGAGGATAACTAGGATACCATTTTGTTATATTTAATCAGATACACGAAGGAATGCCAGAGTATTCAAGTTTTGACCTCCATTGACCTGCAGAGACCGAACTAAGTGCTTAGAGAAGAGAGGGTTATCGGATTTGTGAGTAACTCAATGCGATTGGGAGAAAACTTTCGGAATCCGAACTCTGTACTGAATTCGAACACGAATACTAACTTACCGAACAGCTGTGGGCTGGGTCGGTGATCAACAGGCCATGCACGTGACCCTTACGCCCGCTGGGCTCCACGAAAGGACGTGTGACGGGCCTTTGTCATAAAACGGTCACGTGGCGCGGCCTTACCACAGCTGCCGCTTATAAAACGGTGTTCGCCGCACACCTTCCAGAGGTCCGCCTGTTCCAGTCCAAGAGCGGGAAAGGTACGCAAGGTACGCAGCCCACGCGAGGTCGTTCCGTAATAGAGAATGCCCCTGGAAGGCGCGTTCATGAGCTGATCTACTTAGCACTGCAATTGCGGTTGGAGGCCCAGCAAAGCCAACAATTTTAACAGGGTACATCTCCAAATCGGCAGCTGCGTCATTTCGACCAGATGGATGGACCAGCTGGAAGCGTGAGAGGAATCAAACAGCCGTAAATTTGGGGTTTCACTCTCGTTCGAGTTACGGATCTGAAACGGAGCCATTTCAGCATACAACTTTCAGAATTGAAAAGCCGTAAAACCTCCCAAGTTACATTTACCTCGCCTGGCTCACAGACATATGGCTGGCCATCTTCCTAATGAGGATGGCGGAAACGATTTATGGGCTTCTGTCAAGGTTGAACGTAATATTTTCATTACGTTTGTCTCATCTTCCATCTTGTATGATATTAATGCAAAGCTGATGCAGACAGCAAACGCAGCTCCTGAAATCATATAAGGCGCACATTGGTGCAAAAAATCCTTATTTTTGGAAACTGCGTACGTGCCAGCTCATGCTGTCGGGGAAAATGTGCACACAATTAGCTTTAACAAACGTAAAAAGCTTGCAACGTTTCATACGCTCAACCTTGATGTCTACAGACGATCCGGTAACCAAAAAAGTGACGTATCAAACCATTTTATATTCACTCACGTCAAATCTATTAACATCCGACGCCAGCTTACAGTTCAATAAGCATGCAACAAACATGCACACCTCCGGGAGGACACCGAAATCAAGTGGGGTCTTATGGCTGTACAAGACGTCGCCATCCTATAGAGAAAACCTAACTGGCAATATACCGATAATATTGACAATGAGGAGTTCGTTTTCAGCTGAAGAAAAACACGCTTCCAGATTAGAGTGTCCGGACAATCGAAACTAGTAGGATCGATCCACATCGAGGAGGAGAAAAGGGAGAGGAGAGAGAGTGGAGGAGAGGAGAGAGAGAGAGAGAGAGAGAGAGAGCAGAGAGAGAGAGAGGAGAGAGAGAGGAGAGAGAGAGAGAGAGGAGAGAGAGAGAGAGAAGAGAAGAGAGAGAGAGAGAAGAGGAGAGAGAGCGAAGGAGAGAGAGAGAGAGAGAGAGAGAGAGAGAGAGAGAAGAGAGAGAGAGAGAGAGAGAGAGAGAGACGAGAGAGAGAGAGAGAGAGAGAGAAAACGAAAGTTTAGAGTGCTTCACTCGCGGTCTGAAGCAAACCGGCGTAACTTTGTGATTTACAGTACTTGCGAAACGGCCGTTGTCGAGCCGGAAGAAAGGCGCGCCACAAAAAAAAAAACAGCTGCTCTACCTATCTTAATTGTTCTCATGACTGAAGACTTGCGCCGCATTCCTACAATACTTGCCCACTGCATGGCTGGAGGCTAGCAGTGTTAGCACCACGTCCCAATGGTCGCAATCGGCCGCCAGCACCACTGATGCGGTCCCCCCCCCGCCCCCCCCCTCCCCCTTCCCAAGTCAACTGCAACTGCCTCTTCCGTGTTGATGAGCTCCGGGCTAACTTGTGCCGCCTCTTGCGAGCTCGTAACTTGACGCACCGGTAGTGGTTCTCGCTCCTGCAGCTGGCGCGATGTGGGTCTGGATGTAGGTGGCGGGGCACAGACTCTGGCTTTGGTGCGAGTTAAGACGCAGTGGTCCTTTTATTTTCGTCTCTTTAGCCGAGCGGTTAGTACGACACCCCTCTTTAAGTTTTCTTAAAGTACTCCTCTAGCATGCAATGCAGTCACGCCCAAACCGCCAGCAGCCTGTGGAGCATCCAGCCAGTGTGTTGTGACACCAAAAATGTGTCCCTAGCATTTCTGGCTTCGAGGCAGCAGGGGTTTCCGACGGCTGGACTTCGCAATCATACACAAGTGCTTCACGAAAAGCCTAGCACTGAGCGACTAGTGGATGGTAAGGAAAATTTCGCGACCGACCACTTACAACGTCGCGAACTGCCCCACAGTATGCATTTTCTTCTGATACTGTTCCGAAGCCGCGCTAACATGAAATTTCTCTTCACAACAGCGCAAAATATTCACTTTCATATTTTCCTTGCACGTATATCGTCACATAACGTGGCAGTCGCAAGATCTGGCCTGACAGTCAATCCCCGCCCCATCCCCCACGTGCCTGAGGAACCCGGTGGTCCGTGAAGCCCATCTGAGACGTGATCATTTTGATCTCAAACCATTTATCGAGATGCAAGTGGCCGCCTTGAAATATCTCCGAGCCGCCCATAAATAATCCGGGGTTCAGCAGCGGATACAATGGTCTGGGGACACTATTTTAGAATTCGGCATCAGCTAAACGATATATCGGGCAGCATTGACAGTTCGCGTTAAGCGATTCCCCTTGAAAAGCTGTGCGGAAAGCGCTTACATTAGAAGCGAGTGCTTATTTTCACACTGAATCAGATACTGGCGTATCGGGATGACGCAAATATGTACATGCAGTGATTTTCGGGCGCCAGAGGAATTCCAAGATGCATGGCATCTAATAAATTGATATGCAAGCCTGTCAACGCAAGGATCGCTCCAGTATGGATACATCCCTGCTTCAACTTTTATGTTTGAAGTTCATGTATCTATAATTCCCAATGTCATTGACATCACAACAGAAACACCTATCTCGAAAGAGTAGATCCGTTTCGTGAGAGTTCATCAACTTACGCATCTGGGCGCACCTTTCTCCGAAGATATCGCTGGGGAAGCGACTACACCCAACCTCCTAAGGCAAGGCTCTAATACTATCAAACCAACGTTTTGCCTCTTTTGCACCATACTGGACCGGTGCAACGTCACAGAGCGGATGGTGAATTACGTCGTGGTCCAACTGTGGCCGATGTCACATCGGCACGGTGCCCGTGAAGACGCGACCAATAAAACCCGTCGCCGTCGATGCGTTCCGCCAATTGCCACTGGCCATGGCGTGCCTATGCCAATGACGTACCGGGTCGCTACACGCGCCCTACGCGCTCACCAAAGAGCCATGCGTTAAGGAATATCACTAAGCATGACTAATTCTAGCGCCTGAATCGCAGCCAGGTTTGCTCCGAATCCACGCCATAACGTGCCGGGCATTGGCCTCAAATACGAGTGCGCGGCGGCACGCGGCCATCATGGACCACGTGACACCCGTGGAACAATCCGGGCATTGGCCTCAAATACGAATGCGCGGCGGCACGCGGCCATCATGGACCACGTGACACCCGTGGAGCGATGCCATTCGGACGCGACGGACAGGCGACAGCACGCTCCGCCCTGCACGTCCGGCCAGCCCACCTGGTAGTTGCCGAAGCCCATGTGGTCGCAGGAGCAGTCGCAGACGCTGAGGTGCTTCCTAATCTCGAGTGGCATCTCCTCCAGCGGGATGGGCACGTCGCCGTTCATGACCGTCCCGCTGCACTGGCCGCCTCAGGCGGCTGCCGACCCGCCTGGTGACGTCATCGCTGGCCTCTGTTCGGTGACCTCTTCTCGGGCGAGTCTGGGGCGATAGGGCGGCGGTGTGTGAGAAGCGGGGTAGCGGCACGAGACGCTGATCAGAGTGTGCGGTACTGGGACGGACAGGTCGGAGACATTTATGATGAATGCAGGGGCCTCTGCCTCTTGAAGGTCAGGAACCTTGAAGGTCAGGAGGGCAGCTACCGGCAATCGTGCTAATAAGCGATGGACTGCTGGGTTGTTAAGCTGGCATTGGGTGCCGGCAATGACAGTATACCAGTTAGCCCTATACTAGCTTGGCTAGTTTGGTACAAACTGATTTTGCCACCGAAACCAGAAGCTGGAGTCACCACATCGCTCGGCACAGTTTTGGCGTACGTTAGCAAGACAACTTATTCATGGATAGCGTTCTAGGAGCTTGAACGCTTCTCATTCGAACGTATGCCATCGACAACGTAGTATGGAAGATAAAAATATAAAAAAGAAATGATCAGGACGATTTTACAAACAAGCATAGCAGATTAATGAATGTCTCAAGTCATCTCTTCAGGTTTATGCTGTTCAAATGTAAAACCCAAGGACCTCGTCTCAAACTGCGGGCAGAAACCTGAAGAGAACTCCTTCGATTTCAATGGGCATTCAGCCAAGCAAGGCGACTACCACAGACCGGCTCTGGTGCGTCCCCCTCTCTGTCCCAGTGACGCGACAACCGTGCACCGCTGAGTGACGCGGGCTTATCTGCCCCAGCTAGGGCCGACGGCGGCGGGACACCGGCATCGATCGGCGCCTCGTCGCGCCTCGCCGCGCCTCGTCTCGAACGCCGGCGACCCCGTGCGCCGCTCCGCGAGTTCTGTCCGCTCGCATCTGTGACAAATCAGACTATCCCGGCGAGGCGCGACCGGCTGCAAGCAAAGGCGACAGACAGAGCGCGGGCGGCCGCCGGGTAGAGCGCCGAGGGCGTGGAGCCGGCTCGGGGCCACTGCCCGAGCTTCTTGTCTGCACGAATTAAGGAATTTACGGCGGAGAAGCGGGCGGAATTGGATTCGTCTCAGCACCTGCTCGTACGTAGAACTGCTGGGCTATCGTCTTGGAAGACGTTAGTTCTCGACTGGACCCGGCTGTGTGGCTGACGTGGAGGTCGGCGGCGAGAAAGGGAGCACGCCACGAGAGAGAGAGAGGAGAGATAGAGCGAGAGAGAGAGAGAGAGAGAGAGAGAGAGAGAGAGAGAGAGAGAGAGAGAGAGAGAGAGAGAGAGAGAGAGAGAGAGAGACAGAGAGACAGAGAGAATCAAAAAGTATATATATACGCAAGTATTCATATGAAAACCTACGTATTTATATACCTATACATACATATATATATATATATATATATATATATATAATATATAATCACAAACCCCTACATTCAGCACATAATTTATCTTTCGCGGCGTAGTTTATGACAGGTTTATAACGCTTTCGCTCCGGAAGTCATCGCTTCTCGGGCGTTATCTTCCAGTGCCGCTGAGGGTAAATGCGGCCGCCAATCCGGTCCAGTTCCGAAAGAGCATCGGGCGGCTTTGATACGCTTCAAGCGATCAGGCCTTGCCAGCGGTGCGCTACCGAGACCACCTTCTCTCTCCTCGGTCCCTGCCGGACGCGTATCTGTAGCCGGTCTCAGCGCCGCAGGTCGGCACTCGAGCCACGCTGTAGACTGACCAAGGTAGAACGCGGAGCCCGCAGACGAGGCTCTTCGATGTGAGTAAATGTTGCCAGATATGAAGGGGCAGCACGGCGGCATGGCCCTTAACAGCATTGCCATGCATTTCACCTCACCATCAATCATCGAAATCGTTACATGACCGTTTTCCCTCTCTGCCCTTCAGCTGTCGGCACCGGGCATTCCCACAGAAGCGACCCCCTGGCGGTAGGCCGGCGCCCCTCGCCCCCCCCCCCCCCCCCCCCCCGGCGCCGTCCGACAGTCCGCGGGAGAGCACGACTAATCGCGCTGCGCCGCCGCCGCCGCCGCCAAGGCGCAGCTCATCAGCCAAGAGGCCGGCCGGATGCCGCCCAGGCCCGCCCCAGGGGCTGTGACGTCACGACACTTGCCGACCGGCGCAGTCACGAACGTCCCAGCTGCTGTGGCTCCGGCTCTGCAGGACAGGGAGGATCGTCGCTGATGATGCCAAGCTTCGCAAGAGCTCGTGCGATGGGACGGGGATCTGACGGTGGCAGCCATCCACCGCCGCACGCCACCACCTAGGGGGAAGTATGTAGTTCCCGCCGCCCCCCCCCCCCCCCCCAGTATACCGCAGTTTCGAGAAAACCTCCGGACTTTGACGCAATTTTTCAGCTCTCCAAGTCACCACATCTGACATATAGGAACCTGCAAGCTTTTGCCCGGCTGTGAGATGGACAAGACGCGATTTTGTAGACAAAAACATTTGCAATCAAAATAATGCGTTCTTAACAATTCATTGAGTTTTAAGCCATCTTTAAATCTTAGTGTGCTGCCAAATGATACAAGTGTGAAACAATCATCTTTCGATTAATAGCAAAAGCCCCAGTGATAGAAAACCCATGGCAGACGTCATAAACCACTGAGCCACGTTGCATTAATTGAATAACTTGGAGCAAAAACTTCAACGTAAGTCAATGGCAACCCAAATTATTAAGGCTTGGCCTGATTTTATTGAGGAATAGTTAGGTGGGTAATGAATTCCAACACAGGTTCATCTGCACCAGCTATTGGTGTTTCCAATACGCATCAACTGTCCAAACTGATATGGTGCCAACGTAGATTTTGTTTTTTGATGCCTGAAGAACATAGATTTACTACTAGGATAATGCGGCTATTTCGTGCAATAGTTTCATCTTTACCACAATATTTAGTAATTGTCAGCGTATATGCAGCATTATTATTTGGGATGTGCTTGCTTTTGTCATGTCTTTCATATATATATATATATATTATATATATATATATATATATATATATATATTTCACATCAATATACGTTTTTTCACATCAATTTCACATCAATATCAATATACAAATATATGTATATATATATATAATATATATATATATATATTATATATATATAGTGTGTGTGTCTGTGTGTGTGTGTGTGTGTGTGTTGTGTGTGTGTGTGTGTGTGCTGTGTGTGTGTGTGTGTGTGTGTGTGTGTGTGTGGTGTGTGTGTGTGTGTGTGTGTTCGAAAATTGCATGCAGCAGGCAGGTGAACAGTGAACGGGATTTCCTATCAATCACTTCAGTAACAAAAGTTCTTGGAAAAAATGTAATCTCTATTCTTCCTCGTACGCAATAACACAAACGGCATGATGGTGGTTGTTTCTGAGCGAAACATGTGTAGCAGTTAGGGAGAGGCGCGAATCATTTGAAAGGTTTATTCACTCCATCCTGTTGCATGACTTAAGTAATGCAGTATCCACGTATCCACTTAAGTAATGCAGACATCATATAACAGCCTGAGCCTGTTACGACGCATTCGGATGATGTGAGGTAGACAGTGACAATGTCGAATTATATTGGCGGTGTTGCATGCCAAATGTCGCCACTTTCCTAAAACTTAACATTAATTATATCTATGCACAGTGCAACGGACTCGGAGTCATTGAGATGTCCACCATTCTTTATTCTGTCTGTGCAAAGCGACCAGTTGATGCATGCAATTTTAAAAGGACTGCCCGGTGGTTTGATGAGATCACGGACAAAGATAAATTTCAGGTATATTTTGGTGCTAGACCATTTTTAATTTAATCATCGTCCTTCTCGTGTGCAGTCTTCTCGTTTGTCATTAAAACTGACGTTATAGTGTTTAAGATACAACTTAATACTACAGAAATTACACAGTCTCCTGGAATTGTCGAGTTTGGGTGAAAAGCGGTACCATATGGGCAGGCATTTTTTGCTCCTTTTCCCCATATTTTATGTGAATTTTTCACTCCTACCTGATATTGTCTAACAACACATATTAAGCCCACGTTTCCCTTTCGGAGGTTTTAAGATGTCATTCAAGTCAGAGCTCGCTTAAAACCCCCAAGCACAAACAAGGCTCCACAGAACCTGGACACCTATGGCTATGTCCTGTCTCACCTACATCTGAACCATGTCTATGTATGCACAGAGCAAGGGCACTAGACACCTTCAAGTCCCAGAGACCAAGCGACTCCAGCCGCTTACATGCATAAATTTTAGTTTGTTAACAAAATGCCTCACAATGTACAGTTGTGTGGCAAATGCAATGTTTTCACACATCACGAATTTTTTGGGTCATACCACGCAAACATCACATTGCAAACCAAAGCCTGTTAGAAAGTTTACTCCACGTGTTTCTTTTTCCCGATGAAACTTAGCCACTAGTTCCCACCACTCCCGAAATATAAGAGTGAAAAAATCAAGAAATGCCTCCTAAGTGAAATCTAAAGGCCGACTGTTACCATTTCAGCACCGATTTTCACAGATCTGCGTCAAATGAGTTTATTACAAAGTTTGACCACAAAACACTGAGTATTTATATATATATTTCATTTAAGTGCTTTGATCACCGCTGTCTTCACAGCATTGCCAAGATCAGGCAAAAAATTTTGTAGATTGGATGACACTAGCATGACATTTTATGTGCACCATGCAAATGTACACAATCAAGAAAACGTGCAAAATGCAGATTACACTTGACTTAAGACTTGTGGGTTCATGTGGGTCACCATACAACTCGGCGGGCTTTTGCGGACTGGATTTCTAGCTGGCCGGGCGGGCCGACGGCGGGCTGACATTTTGGTAAAAGCTGCGTATCTTTTCCGAACCGTGCGAGACGGTTCAGCTTAGTTTGCCGCGTCTAACAGATAACCAATTTAACATGTTTTGAAAAAAGCTTTCTGTCTGGTCAGAGTTACGATGTTATCTAATTGACTGGCTTCATTGTCGGTTAGTCAGTGCCGGTTGAACCAACTGAGGTCACAGTAAATCACCATTAAAAGTATATTTCCAACTTTTAATTGTTAAATCAAATTGTTGTGTTATGACCA